TACAACTAATTTGTATTTATATTTTGGTATATACTACACAACTGCCTTTATTTTTGTACTTGAACTAGAATGCCAAAGAGTTGTATTCATCATAAATCAATACCAACATTTTTTGTATTTTAAATTAGTTATACATATCATTAGGTATTCGAATACATTTCGAATGAACACATATTCAAAGAAGTTCAAACATTTAAATATCCAAAACAGAGGGCATTAGAAATTTTCCAACACTTCCACTCATATAAGATATAAAATACAAACTACTGTTTTAAAAAAAAAAATGAAATTCTTAAGAACAAAGAAAAAAATGCTAAAAAGAAAAATGGCAACATATGCTCTTTCAAAAACGTAACTGATGTTAAATTTAAAAAAATTACCTTTTTTGAAATTTTTTTGTTCCATGATTTTCTCTATTCAGTTATTAATTATTTGTATTCTTTCAAATTAATCAAAATAAACTAAATACATAACTCAATTTTTAACAAATTAAAATATTGACATTTTAAATAAATAGTGAAACTATTGCTAAGAAATCCCATTAAAAGCTAAAATATTGTTGTTTTGAAAATTTTCCCAATTTTGACCAATAAAATGAAGTCCAGTTGAAATTATAAGACATCCCCATTCACGTTTTTCCCCTTTTTTCTTTAATTTTTCAACGAAAGAAGTTCGGATTTGAAGAAACAAAGTGAGTACTTTGTGGATCTCTTCAGTGCAACACGCGGAAGGAGAAGAAGTGAGAGATGTCGTGCTTAGCATCGTGCTGCGCGTCATTGACATGCGGACTCTGCACATCGGTAGCCTCAGGTGTCACCAGGAGCTCAGCTAGACTTGCTTATTGTGGCCTATTTGGTGTTTCCTTGATCGTATCTTGGGTTCTCAGAGAAGTCGCTTCTCCTCTTCTCAAGAATTTCTCATGTAATTATCATATCCTCTTTTTAAACTGTTCCTCTCCACAAAATAGCGTTTAATTGGCTTTTCTTTTCAATACTGTGTTTTTAATTTACCTTTTTGATGGATTGTTTCGAATTTTGAATAGCCCGTTAACGGATCAAGTTTGGGTTTTCTGCCTTCAAAATCTTAGTTACTATTGGAACTCAGTTGGTAGGACATAAGATAAGATGTATCCGATTAAAAGTTGAGTTTAAGATGTCGACTTATATATCTGACTACTGATAGTGAAATTGATTAAGAAGTTAGTATGATAGGAAGACATCACATCAAAGGTCAAATTGAATAGATTATTGAAATTGAATTCGTGAAATTCGTTAAAATTGTACAAAGAATTAACACAGAGCGCATATTGGAACTTTTTAATGAAATGGATATTGGGTCTAACTCAACCTCAAAAGCTAGCTCATGAGGTGAGGATTGCCCAACACTATATAAGAAGACCTTCCTCATCCCTAATGAACTCGATGTGAAACTCAACAGAACTAATACCTGAGATCAATTGCAATTAGGTTAGGCTATGTCCTTTCACTTTTTAAGTTCCGTCTTCAGTTGTATATAGGCCAGAACCGTATTGATAAAAATTGTTAACATGCTATGATGATGCTTTATCCTGGTTCTGGAAGTACTTATACAGTTCAGCAGTTTCTTTAGGAGATGATGAACATATTTGGATAGTCTTTGAACTGCATTAGATTGTACTTCCGTTCAGTAGGCAGAATAATAGCCAAACTTTCCTTGACATGGATAGGAGTAGAAGTAATCAAGAAGCTCTAGACAGAATGACAATGTGTTACAAAGTCTTTTCCTCTCTTTGTTGTTCATCTCCTAGGCTTCTTTCCTGCCAGAGACCTTTTCAGTTCTGGGAGACTTATTCCTTGCAAACCATAAATTGTATCTCTTCTTTACTGATAAGTTAGCATGCCTTACCTGGTTATGAATGTACTACAAACTTTTTTTGGTTGCATACCGCACTATATGGTGGCGAAGTTGTTTTCATGGTTGCTTCAATTACTGGTCATTTCAATGCTTTGCTTTTGGCTGATTTCTTCTTGCAATTTTTTTTCCTGAATTACCTTTTTGACATGCATCCAAGTTCTACCTGATATGGCTCAATAATATATACTAATATACTTGAGATCTTTCAAAGCAAGAATCTTGCCCAAGTATAGTACTTCTGTTTCCTTGTTTGGTAAATTACACTTGGCTCGGATGCTCCATCCAGTTCAGTATAGTCACAAGAAGATCACAGTGCATCCTTTGATATTGGATTTACCTGGCACTACAAATAAAACCCTCAATTTTTTGAAATTACAATACGGCTTCTGAGTTTCATAATTTGGTTAAATAGACACTGCTACTGTTTTCTTCAAGTTGCAACAATTGCTTAAAGGTAATGGTAAAATTTTCCCTTAATGATGTGGCAGTTATGAGTTTTGATTAAGTACTGGTTCTCCAAAAGAATAAACTAAATTGGAAAAGAAATTAGTTGATTAGAAAAGTACTTTTAATTTATTTGTATTTGTTTAATGAGAGTGCATTATCAAATAACCTTGTATTGTGTTTTATAGGTTGAAAATGCTGGTTGGCAGATATCTTTAAGAAACTATAGATCTAAATAAAGAACAGAGGAGTTGACTGTAAATTGTCCTTCTTTTTGTACATATATATGGCTAACAAGGAATATGTCGAAAATAGCAGTCTCTGTCAGGAAAATGGGACAGAATGATATGAGTGTTTCAGAATGTTTTTCACATCTTTATGGTTCTAAACCCGTGTTATCTCTAATAACCCGGTAGTTCAAGTGAAATATCTGTTGAGATTCCCCATACTATTCTTGCTACTTGTTATCTACAGCTATGAAAATAATACTTGCGTGTCTTACTAATTGTTTCATATGT